ACTCAGTGATACAGCACTTGCCTAGCACACACAAGGCACTGGATTCACAGCATCACAATCAAAATTGGAATAGGCCAAAGGAGTTCAGTAGAAGCCTGTATATCTAAACTCCATTCCCATTCCCCCACACCCTGGCTATTCCTTTCCCTGAAGTAAGCTCTCATGCATTTGGGAATATGACTAATTTAATAAGTCATTGAAAATTGCCTACCTAATGCTCATCTACAAACCCCATCCTGATTTGCATCAGAATCCTAATCATATACAATCTAAAACCCCAAACCATCCCTTGGTGGTAATTTGTTTGCTAAAAAATGAACATAGTATTTAGATATTGGATTTCTCCGTTTTAGAGTCTAATGGAGAGACCTTTTCTATACCCTCAATTCAAGCTCTTTCATGCTCTCTTATAAGAAACTCACTTTCTCAGTTTCTGAGTTCCAGCTTAGTTCTGTCAACTCCATCTACCTTCTCTCATAGTATCAGAGGAGCTACACTATACATTTGTTTTTGTTGTTTTTTTGGTTTTTTTTTTTTTTTTTTTTTTTTTTTTTTTGGCTAGATTGAGGTATCCAACCATATTCAATTGCTTTATTTTAATGAAATTGCTGCCTGGCCTGTATGATGGGACCAAGACAAAAGGATAGCCCCTTATGGAGGAAATAGTAGAATTTGGAACCACAAATCTAAGTTATTTGCTTTTGACTTACATTTTCACATGAGTACTGCCTACACCCTCAGAAGATTCCATCAAACTGTAATGTTATGATAAATTTGGGTTAAACAGGTGTAGAAAAGGTCTTTTTTTTTTTCTTCTAGTGATTAAAAAAAATAGCCCAACTGAGAGAGAAGAGTCATAGGACATATATGACTCAATATCTCATGTCCTTTTTCTAGTCTCTCCCAGACATTATTCACATTTTCTTCTTCTTAAAGGATTGATTTTTTTCAAGGTCACTGGCTGAACAAAGGATTTGAAGGTGGTCACCCCACTCTTCCAAATTTTCCTTGATTTCATCACATTTCATGTCTGAAGTCTCTCCTGGGATAGAACTGCTAATCAAATATCCATTTTGATCTTAATATTGGTATGCTTAACTATATAGAATTGTTAATTTGGTGGAAATAAATCACTCTTGCAGTATCTTTTTTTTTTAAAAGGCACACCAAAGAAACTTTATCTGAAGTTGGTTAAATGTTCTATAATTCTCAAGAGCATTGGCTAGGGTCTTCATAAAATCTCTGCCTTAAGCTAACAGTACACACTGCTACAAGCTGTGTCTTCAATACGGCTTGTACTGTTAACATACTGTACCTAAGTATTGCAACTCCCACTGTCCTTGGATAGTCAAAATGCAGCTGATGACTGATATTATCTATGCAGATGACTGGTACTCTTTTCCCCTAGACATTCATCCTAGTAGACTGAATGCCCTTACATAGCTTACAAAGAGTCTGCTAGCCTGGGTTCCTGAACCCCATATCCTAAGACTCTTGTCTGAGTATGGAGGCTAAACTGGAACCTGCAGTCCCTGGGCTTGAATTTCATCTCCAACTGGAGGCCCCCAGAGGGCCTTCTGTCCACAACCAAAGAGCTGAAGAGGGAACACTGAGATCAAAGAGCATCCCAAAAACTGTCCTGGAGGTGAGGGCTTTCCCTAATCCCCTGTAGTTACCCTAGACCCCTCCTAAACATCCTAGAGAGATAGTGATAATCCTTTTCTCTAGAATGGAGATTCTTACATAGAGGTCCACAGACCCCTAGAATCTATGGACTTTTCTGTGACTTAATTAACTCCTTGATAACACATATGAAATGGGTATATATATATATACACATGGCCTCATGGTTTTCACATTTTTTTAAATTTAGTCTTCAGTAGAATCTTCAGTTTTCTCTGAAAGTCTTCTAGTTGGAGTTGTTGGGAGCAGAGGGTAACAGTTACTCTAACTAACAGATAAGCCCTAAGTCACTGATATCCAGCCATGTTCAGTGCATGTGACTACCAGATGCCAAGCTCTAGAAAATGTCTCTGAAACTGCAAGATTCTTTATAACCATCTCAAGTCTAATCTGGTCCCTGAAAGAATCGTTTGTACTTGGCTATCAGAGACAGAACCAGAGAAAGAAAAATTCTTATATTCTGTGCCTAAGGCTGTCAGAATTTGTTACATGTCCCAGACCAAGCCACTGGACTGACCTCTGAGCATGAAAAGGGAAGAGCCATTGAGGGGAACAGTCATCAGCTTCAGACCCAGCTCCTAAGAGCCTGGGACCAGGGGCTCACCCTAGCCTCTGCAGAAAATCCGATCCCTATAGACAGACATTCTCCCTCTCCTAATACCTAATGTCTCCCTGAATCTGAAATAACCCTTACAATGCTGAAAGAAGGAAGCCATGTAACTGGCTCAGGCAGGCAACCAGAATTTGGTGGTATGTCCTAGAAGGGCACAACCAAATCTGGAAGTTTTAGAAATGCAAGGTACTTTGAAGCCAAAGTGATTTATACTGTGGGTCTCAAACCTCAATAGAATAAAGATCACCTTCAATTTTTAAAATGCATATTCCTAGACCACTGGGATTGTGATTCAGTAGTTCTAGGGTAGAACCAAGGTATTTATACTTTTTAAAAGGAAACCAGTAATTCTGACCCCAGGAGTCCAAAATCTTTAGAAAATTTCTAAGGGCCCTAAGGTACCAGATACAGAGAAACAGATCAGGCAAACCCCTTTCAAACCTCCACCAAGATAATACCAGAGACTTTCAATTACCATTTATAGGGTCATCTACATACTACATACTCTACTAAGCCCTACATGGACTATTTTATTTAATCCTGTTGTGCCCTAATGTGCCCATTTACACATGTGAGTAATGAAGCTATGAAAATAGGTAAATTGACCAAGATCCTTCAGTTCTAAGTAGCAGAGTCAGAAATGACATTCAAGTCTGAATCCATATCTGTTCTTAACTAATCTACCCAGAATTCTGAAGAGTTTCAGTGCCTGGTGCCTGATGACAGCAAAAGGGGAAGATATGAAACCACATCCCTTCTGCAGGTGGGCTGGGGAAGAACTTGATGGGACACAGAGTAAATGGACAACCACTGCAAGAAAGCAGACAATCAAGCAGGCTATCAAGACAGACAGAAAGAACGATGGGCAGATGGGCTGACAAGGTGTTTTAGTCAGCTTTTTCACTGCTGTAACTAGGGTTACCCTGGTCCCAGGCTTTTAGGAGCCGGTCTGGATCCAACCAGAACAACTGTAGAGGAGGAAAAGTTTATTTAAGGGCTGCCAGTTTTGCAGATCTTAATCTTCAGAAGGCTGACTCCATTTCTTGGGGCTCAAGATGAGGGTGAATATCATGGAAGAAGAGTGTGGTGGACAGAAGCCGCTCACATGGTGAAGAGGAAGCAGAGAGAGACTCCACTCCCCAGAAAGAAATATATACCCAAAGCCATGCCTCAATTCCCACCTCCTCCAGCCACACCCTCCCACTTTAGGGTTACCATCCAGTTAATCCCTCAGGGGATTAGACCCACTGATTGGATTAAGACTCTTGCGACCCAATCATTTCTCATCTGAGCTTCTTGCACTGTCTCACACAAGAGCTTTTGGGGAACACCTCACATGCAAACCATAACAGTAAGGATTACATTCCTGGAGTGCAGAAAGAACAGAGGATAGAGATGATATATGAAAAATGGACTAAAAGGGCTTTAAAAGAACTGGCTGGCTACAGGGAAATCAGTGAAATGCCATGGGAAGCTTTTGATCAATATAAGCCCAAGGGCCCTGGGTCCTATGACCCCTTATGGATAGTCCTGCGTTTATACTGTTAAACTGACAGAAGAAATAATGAGTTTGAGGTATCAAAACCAAGACCAACTTTGGAGCCCAGAACTCTTTACAGAATATTAGATACTCAACCATAAAGGGGCATAACAATAGTATCTACTTCACAGAGTTATGTACGTGAGAACTAAATGAAATAATTTGAATAAAATGTTTAGTATAATATGAACACATAGAAATTGGAAAATGGTAGCTTTATAATCACTAATTACTACTGAAACCATGCTCAATAAGCAACTTCTGTGGCATCCTGTTTATTTGTGACAAAAACTGAGGTCAAATATAGTCTCTATACACTGAAGTTTTTTCTCCATAGAAGATTTTGTTAATGGTGTTCTTTTTCTCACTACTCAAAAATAAAAAGTTATCCACAAATATATCAACAATTTGATCAAAATCAACTTTTAGCTTTCCCTTTGCTTTTAGTCCTGATATTACCCAAAAACCAACTTGATACAACTGTTCCATCCCAATTTGCTCTTGAGGAAAAATAAAGCTGTGGTTCTGTGAACCATCTATATACATTAGAACCCACTGATTGATTGTCAGTAGGACTTTCAATAATTTTCAAACACTCTAGAGAGATGCCTCAAGCAAATGGACAGATCCAAGAAGGCCAGCAAAAAGACCTGAGTGCAAAAGTGCAATGAACATGGCTGGTTGAGTGTTTCCTCACCAGGCAGCACCCCTGTACTAGAAGAAAACTCCACCTTCTGCCCTCTCAATTAGCCTCACTGTTCAGTAAAGAACTGATGACACGGTCTTCCTGAGAGGGAGCATTTAGGTGACCTTGGGTAGGAAGGAGTGGAAGGAACAGAACAAATTAAGTAATGAAGAAGGAAAGAAAACTAGTATAGTATAGATTAAGGTCAGGGAACTTGACCCCACAGAGCCTTCAAGATAAACAAGCTACTTTGACAAAAAGGTGCCAAAAAGGTCCCACATGCCTCCAGAGAGAGAAGATAAATGTAAGGAACCAAAACATATGACCCCTCTGCTGGTCCTGGAGATGGCAATCGGGCATGTCCCAGCAACCTCATCAGAGAACACATTCCTAATTCCTGAACCATTTCTACCTAATAATTCCTGAACTATTTTGAGCGACCCTACATTGTGGCCACTCAAGAATAAAATAAGCTTTGTAAAAAACTGTATGTTTTAATTTGGGAAATGAGAAAATGTTCACAAGCAACCCAGAACAGGTGCTAGCAAGTTCATTCCCATCAGTCACACTTGTGGCAGAAGTTCAGGATCTGAAGAATCACTTTGTCCAGTGCCTCCTGAGATGCTCTTTCAACTGAGGAATGGTAGGCAGTAGCTGCTGGCACTCATGACAACGAAGGGGCAGTTTCAAGAGCTCAGACATCCCATCTCGAACAGTCACTCTGCCAGACTCTTGTACCATCTTGATCACAGCTGCAAGCAGGGAAGAAAAGTTCAGATCCTAGCCTCTCTGGAAAGCCAATGTAATGGTTCGTAAATAACCAAAAAGAAAAAAAAACCATAATTCCAGTCATTTATGTCAGATATTCTAAAGCTAGAAAACTTGAGGTAGACTTCACATTTGGAAAATGGGCCTGATAATCAGATTCTAAATCTGAGCAATCTTTGAGACAATACACTCCTTCAGAACATGCTTCATGTTCCTATGTCAAGGACTTATCACAGAGCTTTACACCTGGTTGGTCCTTGATCAATGGTAGCTACCACCATAAACACCTCAGTGAATCAGAAGTTCCACAGAATATATACCAAACAATGCTTACTCCAAATATACACAACTTCCCATATTCATTAACCACTCTGACATGAGGCAGCCCCCAAGCTCCTGCCCATCCTCCTGATAGTAGAAGACACCTCTGTTCACAGCCTTCTCATCCATGGACTCCAATAATTCTCCTGTTGTCACAATAAAACACTTTTTGACCCTTACATCTTACTAATTTTCTCAAGAAGGCTGCTCAGAGCAAAGTGACAATTACATTACAATCTAAATATTCCAGTTTTTTTTTTTTTAATAGTGCCCTCTTTGTAGAGAACATAAAGTTGTACACAGGTTTTTGAGGGCAGGTTGTTATTTAGTAAAACAATTGATTCAAGTGTAATATGTTTGAGGGGGAAAAAATGCAAAAATCAAAGAGTACTATTTACCTTCTGATTCTAGGAAGTATTCTGTATTGAAAGAATTCCAATGTTTTTTATTTTTAAGGCAAGGAGAATCAAAATCTTGGCTGATCACATGTAGGTGTACATGGCTAGTTGGAAGAAAAAAAAATTGATCATTAAACTTATTAAAAACAATTGCTTGCCAGGCACAGTGGCACATGCCTGTAATCCCAGCCCCTTGGGAGGCTGAAGCAGGAGGATTGTGAGTTCAAAGCCAGCCTCAGCAACTTAGTGAGGCCCTAAGCAACTCAGGGAGACTCTAAATAAAATACAGAAAAGGCCTGGGGATGTGGCTCAGTGGTYAAGTGCCCCTGGCTTCAATACCCTGGTACCAAAAGAAAAAAATAAAAAAGCATACCTCATGCTGGGAATGGCATGGTAGCCCATTCTGAAGCGGAGTTTGCTAGATCCAGCAAAATCTGCAATCACCTTTTCCCCAACAGTGTGCATGTGCTTGAGGAGTTCAAAGTGTTCCCTAGTCACATCCTTCAGACTGGAAATGGAGGCCCATGGTAAGACCAGCCAGTGATGACGAGCCTTAGGATATTTATCCTTAATCACCACTACCTGCTCATCTTTGTAAATCTAGCAGAGGGGCAAAAGAGCAGGAAACAGACATCTGAGATTCTTCTGTGTGCAAGGTATTGTCATATTCATTAAGTCACTTAATTCCCAAAACTATATTGTGCAAAGGGAGGTGAGGGGAAAAAAAAGCGGTAAGAGCACTGAGAGTGAAGCTGAAAGTGTCTTACAAGTCACATAGCCACTAAGTGGGAAATCTAGGATTTCAACACAAATGAAGTGGATTCCAGAGTCCATGTTTTCAACCACCAAACTATACAGAATACACAAAAGATGCATGGAACAAAATAGTTTCCAAAGACCTGATATTAAAATCTCTGCAGGCATCAATTCAAATGCATTTACTCTAAAACAGGAGACAGCATGATATATGTGCATGGGTTCTGAGGAGCCCTAACAGACCTGGTCCCTTGTCAATCAGGATGTAATGGAAGCAGACCTCAAAGGTTCCTCAAGGATGATGGCTGACTTAATCCTAGTGCAGCACAGTACTACAGTACAGACATTACCTGAGGCTCCCTTAAAAGGGACCATGATAAAGTTAACATGACTTTTCTTAACACTACCCAAAAGTTTAAAAGAAACAAGGCAGAAGGCACATTCTTTTGAAGAACTTAGCTTCTCTCCAAAGAACCTTACTGCCAATGGGAAAAAGCACTTGTTCTCATAGGATAGCAAAACAAATCTCACTTGGACGGACTGATAACCTTTGATTTCATTTGGAAATATGGCCTCTGCAGAGTGGTCATGTACAACATGAAATGTACTTAAGTTTCAAAATTTTATTCTGACCTGCATTTTGGGGTCCTGCATAGAAATTTTCAAGCCTTGACTCCAATGGCCCAGTGAGTCCTAAACAAAAAAGGACAATGTAAATTGCAAATGCAAATAATTCATCACTAGTTATCACTATGTGACAGAAAAGTCTAACGAAATTTTGAAGGTTAGATTTTGAGAATTAGACTTCCTTTACTTCAATTTTTTGCCTTTTAGGAAAATATTGTCTTCCTATATTCAGAACTAGGTTTTAAGATGGAGGCCAGAAATGCCAGAACATGAATTACATCTTCTTTGCCGTCTCACACTCCAACTTCAGCCTGACCAAGTTTTCACTTCGATATCAGCCTATGAACTACATGATCTATAAACAGTGTTCCAATGTTAACTTTCTACAGATATACAAATGACTCATTTTAGTGTTCAATGTTAAGTACATTATTACCATACTACCTTCCTTCAAGTGGCTTACCTCAGGAATTTAAGAGATGAGCACATAAAGGGACATTCACCCAAATGATTCTCATGCAACAAACAAGTGACTCTTTCATCATGGTTAGTAACCCTTATTATAGTTAATTACCCCTCACATGTGTCTTGGCTTTATAGTATACAAAACAATGAAGCAGTCATTATATCTCATTTAATCTCCACATCACCTATCAATCACACTTCCCTCACCTTTTTGTTAGATGCATCTTTCTCCTTTTGAGGGGCCATAGAGCATGGTCTGGGGCTGCTCCCAGGTTCCACCCCTGTCCCAGGCTCAGCTTCCTGGACAGCATCCCTTTCTACAGAATTACCGTTGCCTGACCTCTTTCTCTTCCTGTGTGTTTCTAGGCCAGGGTTCTTTGCCTCTTCCTCAAACTCTATAATATATGGATAAAGTTCATTCACCATGTAGAGAACCTGGCCAGGGTGCAGCTTCATCTCTTGGTCCTTTCCAATTATGACTGAGTCAATGCTGGTGGGATTGACTCCAACCTAGGGAATAAATAATCAGAAAATAATTATAATAATAGCAACACCACCACAAGTAATATAGCTGCTGCTATGCTGACCTCTTACTATGGTGCCAGTCACTATGCTTAATGCTCACCTATCACTTCCACACATGTCAGAGAAGCCTTCGCTAGTTGGCACAGATTAAGTATAAAATGGAAATCCAAGTTACACATACACATACCTGCTTTACCTTGACATATCCCTTGTTACACTCTGCTTTCAACTGTACTGAAAGAGATTAGAAAAAGTTAAACACAAATGCAACACAAATCAGGCACTTGCTTCTATTCTCCCTAAAGGATAATGAAGCCTTAATGCACAAGGCAGCCTAACAGATGAACAATTGCCTGATATACAGGTGGCTAGGGTTCCAAATCCTACAATTTCTAAGAGCTCCAATCCTTCCATAGAATGTCCATCAGTATATATATTCCCTTAGCTACTGATAATATCCTATGAAAAAGCTTCAGTGAATCCCTACAAGATTCCCTAAGGTAGAACCCCTGGCCAGCTCAGGATTATAGACTTTGCCAACAAGAAACCCAAGTTCTTGGCTCAGGATTAAGTCAGGCTTCCACTATTATTAAAAAAACAACTATCGCCAGGCACCGTGATGCATGCCTGTGACTAATCTCAGTGACTCAGGAGGCTGAGGTAGGAAGATCCCAAGTTCAAAGCTGGCCTCAGCAACTTAGTGAGACCCTGAACAACTTAGCAAGATCCTGTCTCAAAAATGAAACATAAAAATTAGAGAAAAAAAAAAGGTGGGGGCTGGAGGTATAACTCAGTGCCAAACTGCCCCTGGGTTCAATTCCCAATACCAAAAAAAAAAAACAAAGAAAGAAAAGAGGGGCTGAGGGCATAGCTCTGTAGTAGAGCACTGGCCCAGCATGCTTGAAGCTCTGGGTTCAATTTCCAGCACACACACAAAAAAAAATTTAACATATATCAGATACTCAGACATGGTAGCACACACCTGTGATCCCAGTGACTCAAAAGGCTGAGGCAGGAGGATTGCAAGTTTGAGACCAACCTCAGCAACTTAGCAATGCCCTAAGGACTTAGTGAGACCTGGTCTCAAAATAAAACATTAAGGAAAAAAAAAAATCTGAGGCTATGACTCAGTGGTTAAGTAACCCTGGGCTCAATTCTTGGTATCAAAAAAAATATATTATCAGATACCTTCAACAGAGAAAAGAGGTAAAACAGAAAGCCCAGTTGGCCTTGGTTGGAAGGAAAAGAAACAGTATTTTAGAGGAGGTGCAGTTACAGCTCAGTGGTAGAGTGCTTGCCTAGCATGTTCGAGGCACTAGGTTTAATTCTCAGTACCGCATAAGTATACATAAGTAAAATAAAGGTATTGTGTCCATCTAAAACTAAAAATATTTTTAAAATAAAAGAAATAATATTTTAGAAAAAGAACTGCAGAAATGGAACAGTCTGAGCACGTATAAGAAAAGGTCACATTAAACACTCATGTGCAGGTAAGTGAACTAACTATCTGAGATTGAGACAGGGAGCAAGAAACACCATAGCTGCTCATCAGGAAAAGATAAGTAGATACACCGGCTGATATACACACACATATGCCCTAGAGTTGCTGCTGTGAGGAGCAGGATAGGAAGAGGCAGCGGCTGCTTCTGTATCTTGGGCCTTTCCAAAGTTTACAGGAAACAGTGAGGTACACAGTAAGGCTTTTTCCTGAGAGCAAGGACTTTCATTTCATTCTTCTTATGAAAAGAAGAAATACTAGGGAATGATATTGGCCCAATTATAATGCTATATCATGGGCATATACAAATATGTAACAATGAATCCCACCATTATATGTAATTATAATACATCAATAAAAAATATGGGAAATAAATAAACCCTATGAAAGAACTGCATACCATATAGTCTTATAAAGACATTGCTCTCTGTGTGAGGCTATATGTAAGGGATGACACCACTCCATTGCTTCTTAGACATGATTTCAGTCTGGAGACTCCAAAATTAATCTGTCTCATTATCCAGTGTGGAATCTCCCTGGACAAAGCAGTATACAGGACTCAATTCCATTATCCCACGGTAAAATGATAAACCTGTCTGTTCCCAACCCTCACCTCCCCCTGCCTAGAATGTTACCACATTGGGAGTATAGAATCAAAAAAATGGGGCCCTGGTGTTATCTAAATGAGATTAGTTCTTGAGTTTTTGGTAGACAATAGGTTTTCCAGCAAGAGCACCCAGGAAATACACATCTTTGGTGATCACTATTTTCTAGAACCAAACATGGAAATCACATTTCTATGACCAAATACCTTGCTGTCGAGAACATTTCTTATCAGTGATCTTGGTCTCTGGGCCACGCCCAATCATAACTGTTTCCAAATGTGGAAGTTTGATTCGCTGGTGCAAGATGTCTTGTCTCACCAACCAGCACACCCGCATTATCACTGAGAGATAAAACAAGAGAATTACTGGAAAAACAGATGCACAAGTACAAGTCCTCCAGGTCTATAATCTAGCACCACCAAACATGTGATTTATCAGCTGTTCATCTTGAGGCAGGTGACTTCACCTTTCTAGCCTCAATTTCCTTACCTATAAATTTGTGATAATGACAAGACTCAATCAGGCTCCTGTGAGGATTCAATGAAATAATACAGGTATTTACCTCCTTGCCTGAATCATACTAAGCAATCAAATATTTGTTACAAATTTATTCATATACTTTATGTGCTGGACATTAAGGCTACATAAGCACTATAAGAAGAAAATAACCAAATGTGGCATTAGCCCAGAGAGAGAACTGACTGACTCCTGAGGAGGGTATTTAAAAATGTTTTATGAGGAAGGAATATTTATCAGGGTTTTAAAATACATGAAGGAGTTTGCCTATCAGAGAACTACAAACATAAGAACAAAGATGTTCCTCAGTTCTTAGATGTCTTTATGTGTATTAGAAAGTTTTCCTTTCTTAATTGAAATAATATACTGCTATTAAAACAATACATGTTATTCCCATCTGTCATAATATACAACCTGTACAATGGAGGTGCTGATGTTCTTTTGAAAAATAAAGGTTATTTTAGAGTATCAGAAAAAAATAAAGAAATTCACAGAAGAGATGGACCAAGCAAAAGCAGAAAAGCCTGAGAAATCTGGAAGGTAAACTTAATGACATTTGGGGGATGACAAAGAAGTAAAGAGAGACACCAAATCAAAATTCCTAATTTAGAAGGTGTCCATTAACCAAAATAAAAAATATACAGGAAGACATAATTTAAGGACAGAGGTGAAGGTGAAGAAGGACCAATTTGATATTAAAACACAATTAGTTTAAGCTGTCTGTGGAAGATCCAAGGGTCAAGTAGGGATATGCAAAGATGAAGCTAGAGAAAGAGGGATGAACTGGGGCCTGGGGTTGTGGCTCAGCGGTAGAGCACTCACCCAGTACGTGTGAGGCCCTGAGAATCACGTGTGATTCTCAGCACCAGTAAAATAAATAAATAAATAAAATATGTTGTGTCCAAATATAATTAAAAATAAATATTTTTTTAAAAAAGAAAGAAAAAGGGATGAACAGAACATATATATTTGATAGGCATCAACATGAAGCTAAGACAAAAAGAGAGAATGAGATTACCCCAGAGGTGGAAAGGGGAATCACAGGTAAGTACAGGACTCGATCTTTGGGACACCTCCCCTAGATTCCAAATCAATGCTCAAGTCTCTGACAACCCCCTTCACAGAGAAATGAGGCCTGCAGTCAAAGCAGCAGTTATGCTGTCTGCAAAAACTTAGTGTTCATAAAGAAAAAAGAAAACAGAATTTTAAAAATCAGAGTTTCATTACTATCTGCAAAGACAAGCCAATACAAAGCAGAGTGAGAAAATGAAAGCTGAAGAGGTGCAAATTCACAGGAACTAGATTAATATGAGAATATGCAGGCTAAGAAGGTCCTGTATTAGTCAGGAAAGGCTTCCAGAAACCACCCAGTTAGAGAAGGCCAGAAACCAAGGGGACTGATAAGGAAAGAAAAGAGTAGGAAAGGGTATTTCATTATTTCATTTTTAAAAGCATAAGTGACAGCACAGTTTTCAGCAATGGCAAGCCATGGACCAGGGAGAGAAAGCAGACTTAGTTGCTAAACCAGAGGAGCTGTCCCAGAGAGTCACACACACACAAAAAAAAAAAAAAAAAAAAAAAAAAAAGAAAGAAAGAAAAAGAAAAAGAGAGAAAGAGGAAAAAATGGCAGAAGTGTTGAAAGAACACTAAACTGAGAAGTTTAAATTTAACATAATCAATATTAGTCAACCGCCAGGTTTTGAGCTTCACAGTAAAATGAAACAACAGAAGTCAACATTTTGCCAACAGCTGTGTACAGGCAGGGTAGAGTGGAGAAAGCTAGAGTCAGAGACTAGTCAAGAGGCTGTTAATACATATGTAGACCACAGAGATTCAAAAGGCAGTTCAGCAGGTCTCGGGGAGGACACTGATGTAAGAACCACAAAATTCAGCTGTAAATCTAAAATCCTAAACCTGAAGCCCCAAATGATGACAGTGCTAGAGGCAGGTCCAACTTTAAAATGCTGTGTGTTCTGAGGGACATCTGTTTGCACTTTCTAGAATCTGACAAATGAGCAGGTAATGGACTGAAAAGCAAGTCTTTGTTATGCACTGGGAAATAAGTAATGTGGTGAATGAAAACTGATGCTGACAATTAAAAGAAACCATAAAAGAGTATAGTTTGAGAGTAGGGACAGGGACTATTTACAGCTTCGGCCACCCACTCCTATGTGTCCCCTGCCAAAAAAAGGAGGGTAGGGTGAGCCACTGTATTAGGAACAAAAAAGTGAACATAGATTTGAGAAACATTTAGGTGGTAAAATCAAGATTTAGTGATGAATATAATAAGAGTAAGTTTGGGGAAGATGTTGAGTTCAGTTTCAGGCCTCTGAAGTCTGTGGGACTTGCAAGTACAGCTATCCAGGGAGCCAGGCATAGGTGACACATGCCTACAATTTCAGCAACTCAGAAGGCTGAAACAGGAAGACTGCAGGTTTGAGGCCAGCTTCAGCAACTTAGCAACACCCTGTTCTGAAATAAAAAATAAAAAGGACCACGGAAGTAGCTCAATAGTGAATCTCAAGAAGAAAAAAGAAGAAAAAAAAAAAAAGAGGTTTTAACCTGACAACTTTGATTTGGGAGCATGGAGTAGGTACTTTAAACCAAGCTATTTAATGTACTCACTCAGAAAGTGTACATAGAATGAAAAGAGCAAAGGAGCTAAAATCACAGGCAGTGGAAACATCAAATATTTTAGGGAAAGGGGAAAAAAACATACACAGGAGAAATGACTGGTAAACAAAACACAAGGAGAAACAACTAGAATGTAAACTTTTTTTTTTTAAAGAGAGAGTGAAAGAGGGAGAGAGAGAAAGAGAGAGAGAGAATTTTAATATTTATTTTTTAGTTATTGGCGGACGCAACATCTTTGTTTGTATGTGGTGCTGAGAATCGAACCCGGGCCGCACGCATGCCAGGCGAGCGCGCTACCGCTTGAGCCACATCCCCAGCCCCTAGAATGTAAACTTTTTAAAGAAAAAAATTATCTGTCTTGCTCATTTCTGTATCATAATAAATACTTGAATAAACCAGCTGAGCATATTGTCCTGGAAAGCAGAGGAGTAAGGTATAAAAGATATGATCAAGTTCCAAAAGCAGTAAAGGAATCCAGTAATGCCTGAAAAATGCTTATCTTTTTTTAAAATACATTTTTTAGGTGTTGACCTTTAATTTATTCATTTATTTACATGTGGTGCTGAGAATTGAACCCAGTGCCTCACATATGCTAGGCAAGTGCTCTACCACTGAGCCACAACCCCAAACCCAAAAAATGCCTATCTTATCAGGTGTGATGGTACCTGCCTGTAATGTCAGCAGCTCAGGAGGCTGAGGCAGGAGGATCACATGTTTAAAGCCAGCCTCAGCAACTCAGCGAGGCCCTAGCAACTAAGCGAGACCCTGCCTCAAAATGTTTTTTAAAAAAGAGCTAAAGATGTGGTACAGTAGTTGAGCACCCCTGGATTCAATCCCTGGTGCCAAAAAAAAAAAAAAAGGGAAGGAAGGAAGAAAAGAAAAATGCCTATTGGTCTGGTAACCAATCACTGACGACCTTAGGATGAAATGTCAAGAGAATAATGAGTCTGAAAACTAGACTGCAAAAGAGAATGGGAGGTGAGAAAATGGGGACAGAATTTATAATACTCTAAAACAGTATGGATAACAAAGGGAAGAGAGTTACTAGTGGACAACAAAAGGAAGACAATCATCAGAAATGTTTTCTTTCTTTAGTTGGGAGTGTCAGGAACCTATTTATTCTTACTGGAACACAAACTGAAAGAGGCAGAAATGACAAATGAAAACAAGGTCTTATAAACAAAGGCATAAAAAAAGGTCAGAATCAAAGATCAAGGGATTTCTATGGCCAGAGACACACTCATCCTGAAGCTAAAAGAAAAGGAAAGATGAGTGTAAATATAGGCGATATTGTTAAGAAGGAAACAAAGGAAGACATTTGAGAGGAAAGCTGGAGGTGGTGGTCCACACCTGTAATTCTAATTATTTGGGAGGTGAGGAAGAAGGATTCTGAGTTCAAGGACAGCCTTGGTAACTCAGCAAGAACCTGTATCAAATTTTTAAAAGGAGGTAGAAATATAGCTCATTGGTATAGCACGTGTCTAGCATACAGGAGATTCAATCTCTGGTAGAAAGAAAATTAAGGGCTGGGGATGTGGCTCAAGTGGTAGCACGCATGCCGGCCCGGGTTCGATCCTCTGCACCACATTCAGACAAAGATGCTGTGTCCGCCAAATACTGAAAAATAAATATTAAAGTTCTCTCTCTCTCTCCCTCCCTCTTTCTCACTCTCTCTCACTCTTTAAAAAAAAAAAAAGAAAATTAATTAATTTGAGGGAAAACATATCTGATGACTGTAATTTACACCATAAAATAACAAGTAACAACAGAGTGAGGTGTTTGGGAATTTACTGAATAGTTGAAGGAAATCAATATGGGATAGTGATGACCAACCAAGACTTCAAAGTTAAGACTGCTTGAGTTCAAATCTTGAGCACCTACTCACTGTGTAACCCAGGCAAGTTATTTAAACTCAACACTTACCATTCCTGTTAATAGTGAAAATAGGATTAAAGGAGGAGCTTCAGATATGATAAAAGATCATCCAAAAGCGAAGACTGTGCAACTAAGGTCAAAAGACACAAATCTGTACTGTCTCCCCAAGTGAACAATCCTGACTCAAGTGTTCTACTAAATTCCCAACGTAAGTCAAATTCCCTAGAGTCCAAACATGGGCCATTTTAATTCCAAATGGGATGGGACCTCAAATATCCCTGCTTTGCAGATCCGCTCACTGGTGTGTAAGAGGAAAGGCTTGCTTCTGTAAGTCTTTTTCCTACAAGGCCTGTTGAGGACGCCGCGAAGGGAGGTGCTTCTGGCGGAAAGTACCTTTCCCAACTGGTTGGGGCGGATCCAGGAGCTAAGTTTTTTTCCGGCTTGTAGGGCGACAGAGGTGGGTAAGGGTGTCGCGAAGAGGGGCGGAGACCAACGTGAACACATGCTGAGACACGCCCACGAGAGCAGGAGGGAAGGATGAAGCGACATGTACTAAGAAAGAAGCCGTGAGAGCGTCCTTCAGGCCACATCGCTCAAGGATAGCAGAAGCCCTGGCCTAATGCAGACACCCTCCTTCAACCCACACGGCCAAAAGACGAGGTAGGTCGGCCATGGCCTTACCTCGAGTTAACGAGACCAAAACGTTCACGTTACTCCTTCCGGGCTCCTCCGCTTCCGGCGCCACGGGATGACGTCACGAGCCGGCTGGCGAGCACCCTGGGCCCCGCTAGTTCCTCTCTCGAGAATTGACTGAAAGGGTGTCGCCCTGTTCCCGGATGGAAAGGCGCCTGTCCCAATTGGTCCCTCACAATTCCTAGTGTCGGTCCTGCCAGTTATCCCGGTGGGGAGAGCTCTCTCGGCACCGCTCTACCTGAGGGCCACTCGCCTGTCACTGTCTCTGTCTCTGAATTAGGAAAGACAAAGCTGCAGTCTCCTCTGTGGCTTTTCTCCGCAGCATCTTGACACTCCCATTGTAAGAAGAAGCAGCTCACTACATTTAGAGCCAACATTCAAGCCGAAGGCAGGACCCGCGGTAGCATTGCCGCCCCCTTTCTAAACTACAGTCTGCTTTCTCCCTTTGAGAAGCGGTGGTGGGAAAGAAAAGACTGGAGAGCAGAGAGGCAGAGAGATACCTGAACTGAAGGACAATCAGGGAGGAGAAAATAAGAGGGCAGGATGAGATGTGTGTCGTGATTTTTATAGAAATTCCAAGATATTCCCTTAAAGTCACATATTCAGTTATTCAAAGGCATCTCTGAAAGACCCCAGCCCAACAACCTCAGGCCTAGTTGCAAAACCACCGAGGCATGTCACAAACCTACGCAGGCACCAGAGGTGGTTTTCAGATAATTAGTTAGGTCCCAAGGCATGCCTGAATAAGCAGGAACAAGAGGACCAGAGTGCAAACATGTAGCTTTTATGTTTTTTTTCCAGTAACATAAAGTGAAAAACAACTTTGCCCTTTAGGTAGCCTATATGCTGGGTTTAAAATTAACTATTAAGAAACCTATTGCTTCCCCCGCGTGAAAACTGCCCCTTTACCCTATAAAAATCTCTGTATCCCCAAGCCCGGTGTGCCAGCTCACCAAAGCTCCGGCTGAGGTTCTGCTGGGCACCCGCAGGCGCCTGTGTCCCAATAAATCACCTCTTGCTTATTGCAGCCAGTGTTTCGTGTGATTCTCCTTGGACAGGGAAACGGGGGTCTTTTCATCTCAGTAGATGAAGTATCTGGCCAGCCGGGACAACTCAGCAAGACTGTCTCAAATTTTTAAAAAGGGTAGGGACATAGCTCTCGTAGAGCATTTTTAATTCCTATCTCCTGAGTGAAAGCAGTAAAGAATTTTTCTCAAATGAAAATTAAACTCAAGGAGTCCCATTTCTTGATCAATGTGGAATACTGTTTCCTTCCTTGGAAAAGCAGAGATCCATTGTATGCTAGAGCTACCAAAACAAAAGGGTGGGAGGTGCTTGCGGGGAAATCAGAGAGAGTTGCTTTTGTTAGCAAGATGCAGGTTTGTATTAGGATCACACAAGGAAGTGGGGAACACAGGAACTACCTCAGCAGCCACACAAGCCTCAAGGCTGAGGAATGTGGTTCACAACTGCTCAAGATTAAAAGAAGTAGTTCTGGTGACCTGACCAGTTTTGTTGTTCACTCAGAATTAAGCTTCCCTTCACCTCTGTTATACCTGGCCTGCCCTGGTGTTTCTTGTGTCTAACAATTTAATTGGATCATTCTAATTGCATTATTCATTGTATAATATGCAAAAATTGGCAGCATTTCCATGCCCAGCTTGTTAAGTCTAGCCCATTGTGTATGGTGTATTAATGACCCCAAAAGCAAGGTCACATGGCGTAATGTGTGGCTAAGGGCATGGCAGACTCTTAAGACTTTCAGTCTCCAGATACCATAGCACACACCTGTAATCCTGGCAAATCAGGAGACTGAGGCAGGAGGAATGCAAGTCGGGAGACCAGCCTCATCAATTTAGGGAGGCCCTAAGCAACTTATTGAAAGCCTGTCTCAAACAAGGGCTGGGCATGTAGCTCTGTGGTAAAGCACCTCTAGGTTCAATCCCCAGTACTTAAAAAACAAACAAACAAAAAAGACAAAACTCTTTCAGTGACTTCACATTATTGTGCAAATAATCTCCAGAACTTTTCCATTTTGCAAAATTAAAACTTTTGTCAATTAAACAACTCATTTTCCCCTCCCTAACCCCTATAACCCATTGTCCTACTTTCAGTTTCCATGAGTTTAACCACTCTAAAAGCTTCACCTAAATAAAATCATACAGTATTTGTCTTTTTGTGACTGGCTTATTTCACGTAGCATAATGTCCTGAATTTCATCCACATTGTAGCATGTAGCAGAATTTCCATTTGCAGGGTGAATACTATTCCATTGTGTATGCACTACATTTTATACATTTACCCATCAATGGACACTGGATTGCTGCTACCTTTTGGTTATTGTAAATAATGCTGTTATGAACATGAATATACAAACATCACTTCAAGATCTTGCTTTCAGGGCTACTGATGTAGCTCAATGTGGACTGCCTGCCCAGCATATGCAAGATGCTGAGGTTTAATCCCCAGTACACCCCCACCCACACACATAAGAGCTTGCTTTCAATTACGTTGGATCTACACACAAATAGGATTATTGGGTCAAATGGTAACTTTATTTTTAGTACTGTTAGAAACTGCCTTAATGTTTCTCTTAGCAGTTACACCATTTTACATTCCCATCAATAGTGTACAAAGAGTTCCAACTTTTCTACATTCTTACCAATACTTGTTCCTTTTTTTTTTTTATAGCAGCCATTCTCACCCACAGTGAGGTATTATCTCACTGTGGTTTTGATTTATATTTCTGAAAAGGTTAGTTCCATTTGTATATCTTCTGGAAAATATTCTTTTGCCCATTTTTCACTTAGGTTATTTGTTTTGTTGTTGCTATTGAGTTCTTCACATATTCTGTATATTAACCTCTGATCAGACTTAATATTTGCAAAGATTTTCTCCCATTTTTCAGGTTGCCTATTCACTGTGTTGTGTCCTAGGATGCACAGAAAAATGTGTTTTCTCATACTGGGGGATCAAACCCAAGGGCTTACATCACATTTTTTTTTTTAAGACAGGATCATGCTAAGTTACTGAGGCTGGCCTCAAAAATGTGATCATCCTACCTCAGCCTTCTGAGTTTCTCGGATTAGAGGCATGTGCCACCACACCAAGCAGAAATTTACATTGATATGGTTTAATTTTTATCTCTAATTTTGTGGCCTCTGCTTTTGGTGTTGGCCAAGAAATCATTGCCAAATCTTTTCCTCTGATTTTCTAAGACTTTATAGTTTTAGATCTTACACTTAGGTCCTTGAATCATTTGTAGTTCATGTCTTATACTGTGTGAAGTGAGGGTCCAACTTCATTGTTTTTGTTTAGCTTTTTGAAACAATGTCTCACTATATAGCCTAGGCTAGATTCAAACTTTTGATCTTTCAGCCTCAGCCTTCCCAAGTAGTTGGGATTACAGGTGGACATCACCACATCTGACTCAACTTCATTCTTTTGCATGTGGATATCCAGTTTTCCCAACACCATTTGTTAAAAAGATTGTTCTTTCCTCAATAAATGGTCTTGTCATCCCTGTCAAAAATCATTTGAGCCAAGCATACTAGTGTATGCCTATAATCCCAGTGATTCAGGAAGCTGAGGCAGGAATGTCACAAGTTTGAGACCAACCTCAACAATTTAGCAAGGCCTTCAGCAACTTAGTGAGAACCTGTCTCAAAATTTAAAAAAAATAAAATTAAAAAGCTGGGGATGTGCCCGTAGCAAGCCTCTCTGGATTCAATCCCAGTATGGAAGAAAGGAGGGGGTGGGGAATTATTTAACCATTTATGCAAGGGTTTACTTCTAGGATTACTGTTCTATCCTATTGTTCTATGTCTATGCCTTTATGCCAGTACCACACCATTTTGATTACTATAGCTTTATAATAATTTTTAATCCCAACTTTTTTCTTTTTCCAACCGTTTTGGCTAGTCTGCTCTAGGATTTTAAAAATCCCAATAGTTAGAAATTGGATCTCATATGAAAATCAGAATTCCTGGTCTCTTGAAAAAAATTAATAAATCAAGCACATTCTGGCAACAAATAGTTAGAACTGAATAACTGACATCTGTTCTCCAGTTTGCCACTCTCTGCACCTACATGATTATATAACCTGTCTGAACTCATAAAGGCCCTTCTTTCTTTGAGACTTCAAGATTCCTGATCTAGAGAAAAGCAGCCAGACCCAGAGGACCTACTTCATCTAAGGAAAAGGCAGTTGGAGCCAGAGGCTGTGCCTAGTCTGGTTCAGAGACTTGCTCTTAAGCAACAGTGTATATATAGCTAGAAAACCACATTTTGTTTCGGCATTTGGGAAGGTTATAGCAGAGTTCTCCAGAGAAATAGTAAGGGTAGGAGAGGGTTGGGAGGGGAGTCAGGAAAGGTCTATTTGAGGGGAAAGACCATAAACAAGTGAAGACTTGGATGGAAAAATATTCTAGGTCTATGATCCAAGTTGAGGAAAAATAATACACAAAGGCCCTACAACAAGGAATTTAGCATATGCTTTCAGGCATCATAGAAATCCAGTGTAGCTGAAAATCTAATGGACTTGGTAGTGAAAGGAAAACGGTGAAATCTGAACAAGAGCCAGATAGTAAACCGTTTAAGAACTATATGTGGGTTCATCATTCAGTGAAAAGTCAGTTGGAGAGTGACATAACTTGCCTTTCATTTTATGAAGATCACTGTGGCTGCTGTGAGGAAGAATGCATTGGAGGGGAGGACGAGATTAGAAAGGCTGAGAACAGTCAGGAGTTTACTGATGTAGTGCAAAGGACGCTGGCAGCATGAACAAAGGGAGAGCAGTGAAACTGACTCAAGAGATATTTTGGAAATAGTAACAGGACAAGACAAGACATATTCTCTGTTGGCAGACCTTGGTCAGATGCCAAATAATAAAATTACTTAGTTGTAATAGGACCAAAACCAACTGAAACAGAAATTTAGATGCATGTTTCATATATCCAGAAACTTCTTACTACAAAAACTGTGATGTTGCCTGCATGTTTCCTCTGGTTCCAGGAGCCTTCTCTGACCACACAAAGGATAAAGTGAGGGAATTGATACCCCCCAAGAGCAGTAATGAAAATGATGTAAAGAAGTGGTAGGGTAGGGCTGGGGTTGTGGCTCAGTGGCAGAGCACTTGCCTAGCATGTGTGAGGTACTGGGTTCAATTCTCAGCACCACATAAAAATAAATAAATAAAATAAAGGTCTATCAACAACTAAAAAAAAAATCTAAAAAAAGTAGTGGGGTAGGGCTGGGGTTGTGGCTCAGTGGCAGAGTGCTTGCCTAGCATGTGTGAGGCACTGGGTTCAATTCTCAGCAGTGCATATAAATAAATAGATGGATAGATAGATAGATAAAAACAAAGGGCCATTGACACCTAAAAAAGTTAAGATGAAGATGAAGACTAAGAAGAAGAAGAGGAGGAGGAGGAGGAGGAGGTTGGATAAACAGCTCCCCACCCCCTCATGCAACAGATTTGAAGCAGCAATGTAATATCTCCTAGGGCTTCCTAGCCAGCTGCTCAGTGAGGTAACCTGCACCCCATACTGGTTTCCTTCCCATCCCTGTCCCAATTCTTCATTCTCCTACTAGTATTTCTTGAAATCATCTCTTAACAAAGTACAGATGCTCAGATCCTTATGTCCATGTCTCCTGCTGTTTCCCAACTTTGTTATGTTGTAGCCAAAAAATAAAATTAAATAAAAAATAAAATTATAGTATTTGCAAAACACACTGGAGTAAACTTTAGGTGACTAGAGAAGTCCTATGAGGAAGATGGTAAAAAAAATTCTCATATTTTCTTTATTATTATATACAATAAGAAAGATTTTTAACCAGAGTATTTAAGAACTAGAGGTATAGTTTAGTGGTAGAACACTTGCTTAGCACGTACAAGACCCTAGATTTGATCCCTGGCACCACAAAATCAATTAATTAGTAAGAATTAATTTAAA